CTAACCCTCCGTGGGCAGCAACCCCCTGAGTTGAGTAACAAAGGTTTCTCCTATAGCCATCAAAAAAAAATCTCAAATAACACTTACATTAAGTCTACTACATGTTACATACTGTTTTAAGAACTTTGTATCTATCAACTAATTTAACCCTCCAATCAAGTCTATGAGCTGGGTACTGCTGTCCTCCCTCTTACAAATGAGAACACCAAGGTACTGAGAGGTGCCCACCTGCACACGACATCCAAGCCCAAGCCGTCTGGTTCCAGAGTCCTCGCTTGTAACTGCCTCAGACTGCCTCTGTGTTTGCCACACTCATCACCAGGGCCTCATCTCTCACTTTTGCCGTCTGCTCCCTTCCCTCCACACTCCAGCACCGCATTCCAACCCCCAGTCCTCCCCACCGCAGTGAACGGCAAAACTGTCCATCTCGTTGCTCAAGTCAAAACTTGGGAATTATGCTTCATTCCTCCTTTTGCTTCTGCTTCGCATTTAAGCCATCAGCATCCTGCCAGGTCCGGCTCCACTCCTCATCATCCTCACGGCCACCACCCATGTTTTTGTACCTGCTTCACCCTGCTGGCCTTCTACAGGGTCGCCCAGCTCCCACTCGAGACTGTTCATCTCACAACTGCCAGAGAGATGTTTTTAAAGCATAAAGTAAATCATGCCCTCTCCCTACTGAAACCCTTCAGTTTTAATAAAATCCAACTCTCCAACACAGCCTACCTGTGGCAGCTGCCTCTCAGCTTATTCCCATATCGTAATTCCCTTCGCTCACTATGTCCAACAGCTTTCTTCATATTCCTCAAAAACACCGAGGCTTTTCCTGCCTGCCATTTTCCCACTACCTGATCTCTCGGCCTATAATGTTCTGTGCCTAGTTCTCCTGAGAGCTGGCTCGTTGTCACCCTACACATCTCAACTCAGAAATCACCTGCTCAGAGCAGCCTAACCATCCCATAGAAAGTGGCTCCCCCTAATTCTTCTTTCTCATCTTTCTTACTTCCCTAGTAGCACTCAGCACAGGCTGTAATTTCCTCTTTATGTCGTAGCTGTGTTTGCCTGTCTCCCCCAGTGAATGATCTATCTCGCTCATTGGCATATGCCTGGCACTTAGCAGGCAGTCAAGAAACATGAGCTCATTACTGAATGTCTGCAGAGTTGAAGCTCTCCCACCAGCCCTGGAAGTAATGTTATGAAGATCATCTGTGCCTTCTAAATGCTGGTCAGTCCACTGTAATGTCACCTCTATTCTTTTTCATTCATACCCAAACATTCTCCAGCCGATTTCACTCGTAACAAATGATGGTCTTAGAAACTAACCCATCCTGTCCTCTCTTCCTGGACTAGGAATTCTTCCAAGATCCAATAACAACTTTACACCAATATTCTATTTAAGGGGGAACTCTGACATCATGCCTCAGCCTGCTCTGGGGGATCAACCTGAGCCCACCTTCAGCCAAAGCATCATCTGAGATCAGGAAACCAGCCAGGTCTACCATCCAACCCAGTGTCACTCTGGTCATCACCCCAAACCTAAGTCCCCTGCAGGCCTGTCTATCCCATACTCTCGTTTCTTCCAATATCTCCCATAATAATCCCCCTAGTTCAACACCTATGGAGAGAGAAAGTACATACGTATGATGTGAGAACTTGTTTATAACAACAAATTTTCAAAACTACATGTACATAATCATGTGTTACTGCTGGTCACTTCAAGTACAAGGAAGAGATTCCTTTGGTCACCATGGACTCCACGTCCCCACATAGGGCAAAACACCAATGAACTGTCAAATTATTGTTCAAAGCACTGAAAACAAAATAAAAATATTATCCTACTCCTATTTTAAAATATCTCCTTAATATCGCTCAATAAAAGTTTCTTCTCAGGATAGGGAGAAAAAAGGGATGTCACAATATACTCAAATTTGAACACAAAAGTTAACAAATACTTACAAGTATATCTAATAAGTTTAATTTTCCCCAGCAGCATTCAAATAGCTTTTCTTGTCTAGCTTTTTATCTTACCATCAAGGCCTGTACACATTAACTTCATATCAGAAAGCAGATGGACTCTGTTTCCCTGCCTCTGAAAATCTTATTTACAGTGTTGTATATTTCACACGGTGACCTCATATCTGGAACCCATTCCTCTCCCCATCTGCAGAGAACAACTGTTCTCATCTGTGAAGGGAGGCTCTGGCTGCAGAGTCTCATGATGTCACAAGCCAGGAGGAATCATTTACAAACTCCTGGGAAAGAGAGTTGTTATATTGATCAGCTTTTTGTTTTGTTTTAATATCAGCAAAGAGTTGCTTCAAAAGCAAAAGTTAATAGAAGGAGCAAAACCTGTATCATCGTAGAATATTTTCTTCACCGTATCTCTAAAAATTCTGTAACCAAAGTTATAAGCAATTTTTCTTCCAAGTTATAACAACTGAGTTTCCCTCACTCTTCTTCAGAAGACAGTACCTTGATCCTTTATTTACTTTATCCTCAATAAATAAATATTTACTCAATATAAACTCATTATGCATCAATCAAATGCCATGCACCGGGCTAATATGTGGGAATGAGAGACAACCCTACCCATAAGGAAATGAATGGCCTATTTGAGGAAACATAAATGCCAAGAAATGACAATAACTTTAGAATAAAGGGTAAACAACAAAGTCAGTTTCAGGAAATAGTCATGGCCAATTCTGCTTGGAGAATTAAAATAAGGTTTCTCAAAGGGGGTAACATTTAGATAGGGACTTAAAGGTCAAGTACAATTACATCAAGATAATGGGAGAAAGCATTCCAAGCACTAGGAACAGTGTGTACCGAGTCACAGAAAAAACAAAGAGCAGAGTTTTTACAGAAAAAGTCTTAAAGAGCAGGGTGAATAGAGCAACATGTACCTGGAGGAGAGTGGCAGGAGATGAAAATGAGAAAGGCACAAAGGGTCTTCGTACATGAAACAAGATGAAGGCCCAGAAACTTTAGATAACACAGACTTCGGTATGTGGACTCAATGATAAACAGCAAATGAATGGATTAACGAATGGACAAATGTCCAAATGCAGCTTCAACTCTGAGAGGCCTTGTCAAAGAAATCCAGGGAAAGTTTAAAAAAAAAAAAAAAGCCAATAGTACCTCTAAAATCGTAGAGATCAATTTGTTTGTTAAAAAGTTTTCCATTCAAGAGTCAACAAAAATACTCAAAAAGATAAGTGCACCCCGTATTCACTACAGCATTATTTATAACAGACAAGCTATGAAAACAACCTAAGTGTCCACTGATGGATGAATGGATAAAGAAATTGTGGTGTATATACATGCACACACATATACAATGAATATTCCTCAGCAATTAAAAAAAAAGGATGATATCTTGCCATTTGTGACCACACGCATGGACCTCAAAGCCATTATGCTAAGTGAAACAGGTCAGACAGAGAAAGACAAATACAGTATGGTCTCTGATATGTGGAATCTTTAAAAAAACAAACCAACAAACAAACAAACAAACAAAAAACAAGCTCAGGGATACAGATTAGTGGTTGCCAGAGGCTGGAGTATAAGGCATGAGCAGGGCGTAGAAACCAGGAGCTGAGGTGGGGGGGTAGATAACAGGGTCAAAGGTTACAATGAAGAAAAAGAGTCTGTATTAATCATATGTGCACTTGAATACAGATAAATACAAAAAGGTGATTAAAAAGGAAAAGAAGATGACAGTGTGTGTTCATTGGCTGGGTCTGCAGCCAAAGCCGCAAATATAGAAAGTGGGCTCTCAGGATGAGAGAAAATGGAACACAATCGACATTTTCAAGTGAGCTGGGTCACACACCGCAATACCTCTATACCAATCCAAAATTTATAAAATAGAGTTCATTCAAAGAATATGTGGTCCTGCCTCCCTCTCCACCTCATTACCTATTTCCTGCCTCATATTTCATGCCTGAGGAGACCTAAGCTGCTTTACTCTATACTGTTTCACAAGTTCATGTCCCCATTAGTGCCACTGCCTCTCCACACCTTGTTACCGCACACAGATCACTCGTGCAATAGGCCCGAACTAGCCATCCTTCAATATCCATCGAGACGTCACCTCCTACAGTCTTCCAGTTTCCCCCTAACATCCTTCCATACACCTTGGTAACATTTTTATTTGAGAGCTTACCATTTCTCCCCAAATCATCTGTTCACATGACTGCCTGCCCACCCTGGGCCAGGCGCTCAAAGAACAGAAAGACAGTCTCATCTGCCTTCACCTCAAGCGCACCCGGGCGGCACACTCCTAACCATGAACTGTTCCTGGCTCACAATGTGGGCTCAACAAACATTTGCTGAGCCAAACCAATGCATTAGTTTGTAAAAACATTTTGTAAACTATAAAGCACTCAACAAACATTGCCTGCTGCTGTTTACTATATCCTTTTCAACCCTATTCTTCAACATTTAGTATCCACGTGCTCCAGGCAAACTGAACTATCAACGTTTCTTAGAGCCAAACTCTATTTCTCACTTCTGTCTGGGTAGCTTACACTGATCTCTCCGTCTGTAAAGCACTTTCTCTTAGCTTCATTTATTCAAACTGCATCAATTGATGGCCTGGCCCAAATATATCCCTTCCAATAAAACATTCCTAGACAGACCTAAGTGGAAGTAACGGCCCCTTCCTCTCAAATCTCAGAGCACTCTGTCTGTGTGTCTTGTGGAGCTTACCACCTCTAACTGCACCATAGGGGTAAGAAGGTGAGTCCTGTGCCCATGAGCTCATCATTTCCGTCACGCACACAATGCAGAATAAACAGTTTAATGAGTAATAGGTTACTTCTGATTCCACATAGTCAAGGAATAGCCATCTAGTATGTTGTAAGCACCTGAATAAGTGTTCCTCTCTTCAAGCCTTCCGAAACATCCTCCTTGGACATGTAGGTTTCAAATATGCTCTTTTTCTTCCCTCGTACGGACTTGCTCTTTGCCTTTTTGTCACCTGGCGAAGCACCAACACCATGTGGGCCAACCACAGAGGACACACCTAGAAACATGAGGCAGCAATCAACTCTTTCCTCAACCAAACATCTCTATTTTTGTAACTGGAGACATTTTACCTTTTTATTTAGAAAGACCAATAAAAGAATGAAATGTTCTGATAATTATTTTAAATAGTAACAAAAAGGAAAGAATGGATTAGGAAACACGAATAAAATGTACACAGATGAGACTTGAGTTATAAGTCAGCACTACAACATGCACAGAACGTAATCTGAATAATGGGTTCAATATGCTTTCCTGTTTATAGACACAAACTTTTTTTTAAAACAGGAATTACTAAAAGACTGTCACTTTTCTGGAGGAAACTAAACAGCTGTGCTCAATATAACAATAAATTAAGACAACAAGACACCACACTTAATTCGAGAATAAATAACACAGAAGAATATTTAACAAGTCACCAAAAGAATTAGAGCCTCCCTTAGCCTAAGACCCGCCCCGTAAGACCCGCCCTGCATTCCGTTCTACTTTTATTTTATTTCAGGTCTCCAGTTGCTAGAGTAGACTCCATTTTCCTTTTGCTACCTCTGGGGGTCCCCAGGGGCCGGAGGTTCAGCCTGCAGTCAGGATGGCTCATTACTGGTTCCAAGGTGACCTCTTCTCTCCAGATCCAGAGAGGCCTCCACTGCTCAGCTCAGAGTTCTTCCTGCCTTGAGTGGCTCAGGTGTCACTAGCTGAAACCAAAGAGAGATGGGTGACAGAAGAGCAGTTAACCTGGGGCCTTCTCTGTGCTCTCGGAAATTTAGTACGTGGATGATTAAAAACAATGTGGGGCCCCTCCTGGGTCCAGGTGTCACTTTCTCCTAGGCAGTCAGACGAACACACCATCTGTCCTGAGTCTCTTTTCAAGGTAACTGCTTGTTAGGGCCACTTCAACTGAAAACCTCCACAAACAGTGCAATGAGGCAGAAATTAAAGAGTTCTGCAGTTCTGGGGCGCCTGGGTGGCTCAGTCAGTTAAGCATCCAACTTTGGTTCAGGTCAGATCTCGTGGTCCATGGGTCCCAGCCCCGCGTCCGGCTCTGTGCTGACAGCTCAGAGCCCGGAGCCTGCTTCGTTGGAATTCTGTGTCTTCCTCTCTCTCTCTCTCTCTGCCCCTCCCCAACTTGCATGTGTGAGTGCACTCACTCCCTCTCTCTCTCTCTCTCAAAAATAAACATTTTAAAAATTAAAAAAAAAAAAAAAAGAGTTCTTTCTGCAGTTTCATTCAGCTTCTGAAATGGACAAGAGCAGGAGGGAATATAATTTTGAAGAAACAGGTATAAAGATCTAGAGTCTAAAGGCTATAACGAAATACGTACTAAACTAGGCTCAAAAGATGCAGCATTTACTAAGCATTAAACATTGGACAAATGATGTTCATCTATGAAACCAAGTAAATATTCCTTGGAAATCATCAGCAAAAAAAAAAAAACCTAATTCACTACCACAACCGGATATCCAGAACTATGCAAGGAACCCCAGGTGGTTCACTGGCTTTCCAAAAATGGCAATACTGTAGTTAGACATCTATTTCCCTACTCTTACCTGACATCACTTCAAACCAATCATCTGACCAAAAGCTCAGGCAGCTGCTTCTAAAGAATATAAGGCAGCTGCCTGGATCAGTGGACTGGAATCCAGGGCCCTGGAGCTGGCCCCTGGCCTTCCACCTGGATATTGAACACATCATCACAACTTCTACTTTCTACTCTCAGCTGGCCACCAGCCCAGGGATTTAAGCCTATACTTGCAAATTTCGAAAATCCTGGTGGGCAGGCTTCTTTCCCATAAAATGGATCAAGATGTCATTCTCAACACTAGCTTCCATTTCCTGTAAATTTCCCACACACATCCTTCACTGAAATGACATAATTTGTCTTTAAAGTGAAATTAATACTAACTCAGGAAAAGAGAAGCTACAAAGGGTAATAAGCCACTGAGCAATACATGAAGAGATTCAAGGATAAAGTAAAAAAAATTACAAAAGGGAGAGAAGCAGATGGTCTTAGATAAACAACAAGGTAATAGGAAGGACATACAGAGGAGGCCAGACTGTCTGACGGTTTAATTCAGAATGCATTCACCCACTCGTTAATTCAACAAATACTTCTACAATGTACTGCACTAGGCACAATGAAGAATACAAAAGCTAATTAGATTTATAAAAATCATTGTGAAATAATACAAGTTGGGAAGTGATAAGCACTACATTTTTTTAACTATGGGTAAATGTACATATGATGGCCGAAGGAAAGTATCTCCAGGTCAGGAAATCTGAGAGCTTCAGGAAAGATGTTAAGGTCTTAAGAACTGAGAATGTGAGAAAAGCACACTGCTGGCAAAAGGAAGCAAAAATAGAGACACAAACAGGAAAACACACGCAGGTTCTTACAACATTAATCCATCTGGGTAGAGTCCAGCCTATATGAAGGGAGGCAGTGGCAAGGAAAATAAAACAAGTTGGAAGGTTTAGAAAAGCATCCCGTTTTTCAAAGGCAGTAGGGAATTTCTGAAGCATGGATGAGCAGAAGAGAAGAACAACAGATCAGAACTGTGTTTCAGGAAAAATGAACCCAGTACAAGATTCAGAGTCGTCTCGGGCTAAGAAAGAGAGCAGCAGCTACACCTTAGGAAAGAACCAGAGCAGACTCAAAGAAAGGAAGGAAGGCCTGAACCAGGGATGAACAAGCACACACTGAAAAGAAGAAACCCATGACATGGTATTACACACAGGACAAATTGGCACCACTTGGCAACCCGGCAGATCTGAAGTCTCAAGAGCACAGAAGTGGTGGCAACTGTTCAAGATTTTAAGCAAGGAGACCGGGAAATCACAATGTCACTAAGTTAGAGAAGATAATGAATTCTACTTAGGGTATTATGTATCACTACATGAATACATACCTCTATGTATACCTATATACATGGAAATATGTACCTCTATGTATATACCCCTACCCCAAATACTTGGAAACTAGAGCATAATTTAGATAAATTAGCCAGTCATTTGCATAAAAATGGTAACCCAGAGTTTTCTAGAATGGACAAGATTGCCAAGAAAGGGTAAACTGATACAGTAGGGGCCCAGGACAAAATCTGGGTTAGGGCAACTTTTAGGAAATGCAAAGAATAAGAAGTAGAAAATATAACTAAGAAGTAGAAAATATAACCAAAAAGGTAACAAAGATGTAGGAAAAGAACCAACAGAGTCAAATGTTACGAAAACAAGGGGGAAAATAACTTCCAAAGGAGAACAAGTTAATGATCTCGGTTTGCAACCATTACTAAGAACACAATTCATGGCAGCCTTGGGTAAGGTGAAAGGTTGGGGGCAAGCTGCAAGCAGGAAAAAGACAATACAAAAACAAAAGCCAGAATTAAAAATGGGGTGCTTTGTATCAAGTCCTGATGCAGGCAAGAGTTCAAAATTAAGGGGACTTACTGCCAGATGAAATAAAGACAGAGATCTCAAACTCAAATGTCCCAAGGTCAGCTACATCTTAACTTTCCTTCACAGCAAATATCCCAGTTGGTGTGATGTATACCTAACTTGTCTCTCTAGCTCAAAAGGACAAGGAATGTTTGGTTGGGTTCATTGTTATAACCCTAGTGACTCCCATATTACCCGGGACAGAATATGTGCTTATATTCACTCCTTGAATGAGTGGATGAGTTTATTTTCATGAATTAGCAGTGAGAACACCAGAGGAGGGTCACTCAAGGAAAATTACACTAAAAACAAGTCAGCAAAGAATAGGAAAAGATGGGGCCCCTGAGTGGTTCAGTCAATTAAGTGTCTGACTCTTGATCTCAAGTTGGTGAGTTCAAGCCCCATGTTGGGCTCTGCACTGGGCATAAAGCTGACTTTAAAATAATAATAATAATTGCCCATACAGTGCTACCTTATAACATGTTCTGAAATAAAATTCAGTTTGAATAAAACTTAAATGTTGTAAAATGAGAGAAACAGAGACAGAAGGAGAGAGAGAGAGAAGGCAGGGGAAATGATGCCCAGAAAGGCTGAATAAGGAATGTGACAAATATTACCCCCAGAACAAAAAAAAAAAAAAAAACAATAAAACCAGATAAAACTATCAAAACCAACTATTTAAGACCTGGATATTGACCAAAGACATACAAAAAACTGAGAAGTGTTTATTCAAGAAAATCTACTGAATCTCGGTAAGAACAAGAGAAGTATGTGGTGGTTTAACCTGGAGTTCCCACCATCCCACACTGACTCCCAATCCCTTGGTATGAAGTCCCACCTGGGAGAGCCAGCTGTGGAGACAGGCAGCCGCACTTAGCCAGAGGGAGCTAAACTTCACTGGAGCACAGCAAAAAGAATTCCATGCCCAGGGGCATTTTCAAAAACAATAATGATTCCAGGCACAAAAAAAAATCAGGGAGGCCAATATCACAACTAGCCTGAATTTGCAATACTAGTTAGGGCAAGCAACAGATCAGGAAATCAACCAGAAATTTAACAGTGAGAATTAGAAACGAGACCATCAAAATAGGCCTCGACAAAAAAAAAAAATCTACGTTTTCCTGCTATGTGCACAGGACTTTAACCATGCAGGAAAGAAATTAAAAGGCAACTCATCCCTAGATGAATGTGACCCTTGCAAATGCAGAAAGCAAAAGCCTGGGCTGACTTGTAAACGGCCTGAACTTTGAAAGCATTCCCACAAGCCTCTTGAGAACCACTGACAAAGGATGGGGCCTCATTGTTTCAAAGAATTTAAACACAACCTCTGATCAATCATAGGCTGACCACTAAGATATCTTGACCCAAGGGCAACTACAAGAAAGTTAGACTTAAAAACAAGAAAGTTAGAACCAGCAGAGACATCAGCAGCCACATACTGTGGGAGACACAGACTCCAAAGAATGAGTTCAGGTAAGTCATTAAACAAAGAGAACAAACAGCTCTGGGGGGAAAGGAATCAGAATGCAGACTATATTATCAAAAATGTCCAGGTTTCAACAAAAAATTTTAACAGGCAAAAATGGAAAAGTGTGACCCATACACAGGGACCAGGGGGACAGGCGGTTTGAATAAAATGTCTCCAGAGGAGCCTAGATTTCAGACTTAGGCAACAGAAACCTCAAAGCTTAGATTATAAATATGTTCAAAGAACTAGAAGAAACCACTTATAAATTAAAGTATGAGGACAATAACTCATCAAATAGAAAATATCTACAAACAGAAATTGTTTTTTTTAAAAAAGGAAATTCCAAATTGAAAGAACTAAAATGAAAAATTCACTAGAAGGGTTCAATAGCAGATTTGAGTTGGTATAAAAAGAATCAATAAACCTGAAAACAAAAATGATCAATCAAGATGATCCAATATGAAGAAAGGAAGAAAAGAAATATGAAGTAAAATTATTTTTAAATTTTTTTTTCAACGTTTATTTATTTTTGGGACAGAGAGAGACAGAGCATGAACGGGGGAGGAGCAGAGAGAGAGGGAGACACAGAATCGGAAACAGGCTCCAGGCTCTGAGCCATCAGCCCAGAGCCCGACGCGGGGCTTGAACTCACGGACCGCGAGATTGTGACCTGGCTGAAGTCGGACGCCCAACCGACTGCGCCACCCAGGCGCCCCAGTAAAATTATTTTTACAAAAGACTTGTGATAAAGAACCTGGCTCCATTTTTTGATGTTTGACTACTGATTTATTTTAA